ATTGTAAAATTCAAGTTTCGAAAGGCTAACTTTTATTTCTGTCAAGGCATTTTGCCAGCTTTCAATGGAGTTTTTAGTTTTCTGGTAGTGTCTTTGGATCTGTTTCATGTATTCTAGATTTAGTTTATATTCTTCACCAAAGGTTTCTCTTCCTTTTCTGGGTTCCTCCCTTCTTCCCTCTGTGTTTTCTTGAGAGGGGCTTAGCATTTCTTTAATTAACCTTTTTATTTCTTGTCTCACTTGGGTTAGAATTTCAGTTTTAAGTTCATCTATGAAGTCATGAATGTATTTCTTTATGTCTGCTGTTGTGGCTAACACTGCATGATTGCTGGACTGGTTCTCTTCTGTACTTACCTCCCCTGGGCTCATATTCCCAGGGTCAGCAGCTGGAGGTTTTGTGTTATCGTTTGCTCTTGTCATGTTTCTGGTTTCTTTCAGACAGGTGTGTGGAGGAGGTCTCAGGCCATCTCTGTATTTCTTATGGTTTTTCTAAAGTGTGCTGGCTGGGGGCTTGCTGCTCTCTCCAGCTTGCTGATATCTGAGGTGGTGCACAGGGATGCTGCAGGTTGACACCTCCCCTCTGAGGCAGTCAACCTGCGACTGCCTTCAGCACTTTACCCTGTGCTGTGGCGGATGTCACAGGTTGGAAACAATTTCATCCCTGGCTATTGGTTCCCGACATGCGGCGTGGTTCAGCCCAAGTTGCTCCCACCAATCCTCTCTGGGCCAGGGATGGTTGACTGATGCCACCACGGTGCCAGGCTCTGCCCTGTCCCAAGATGTCTTCCAGTCAGCCTCCCATGGTGCAGACCCAATTTCCAGCACTCACTGAGAGCTGATAGAGCTCTCTACCTTGGCTCCACTCCACACTGCGCCGTGTCCTCCGCCCAGGGCCCGGGACTCACCAACTCCCGTTATCAGCAGCCGCGGCTTTGGCACCACCTTGAATCATCTGTCTCCATGGTGCGCCCAGGACAGCACGGAACAGGTCTCAGTGAGCGTGTCTGGCTTCAGCCCTCCACCCGCACTTTTCCTTCCTCTTCCTAATCTTATTTTTCTTTCAGTTTCCTCCTGGGTTAGTGAGAATCGTTCTCCAATCATCTGGCCCTTTCCATGTTGTTAGAGTCTAGCATCTGGGCTGTTTTCCACGGAGAGGTTCTCCAGCTTCCTAGCAAGCCGCCACTTTTCTTCCCTTCTCCAGTGCTGTTAGCTTTTAAATGCTAGTATCTTTTGGGGGTGGGTGCTGGGGAGTAAACCCAGGACCGTCATGCTGAGCTATTTCTCTGGCCCTTTTCTTACTTTTTTACCCTGAAACAGGTCTTGCAAAGTCATCCAGGCTTGGCTTGAACTTTCAGTCCTTTCCCCCAGCTTCCCAGAGTGCTGGCTGTGCTGCCACACCTGGCTCTAAATGTGTGTTTGTTAGGACGCCCTTTGCCACAGCCCCCATGCCCACGTAGGCTGCTCTGCTCTGGGGCTGGTCTGTTCCGTTGGTCTACTTTCTGTGCCTGTTCAAACAGTACTGCCTCAGTTCCTGTCACTCTGTAGTGAGTCTCTCTTTCTAAAATGTAGCTTCTTTTATTCTGCTCTTTAATAACATGTTGGTTTTTCTTGGCCCTTCGTATCTCCTACATTTAGAATCAGATTGTCAGTTTCTCTTTTTCAAAACCCTGTAGAGATATTCATTTTGCTCAGTTGGATGTATTTGTTTAGTATTGGTTTTTAACTGGCTTTTGTCAGTCTTCTAGTCTTTGTGATTTCTGTTTTGATAATTTCCCTATAATAAAACTTCATCAATTACTATCAGAAAGCAAGGACAATATTTTATATGCTCTTTTAAATATTAAACATGTCCTGCAGAAAGGACCTTTCAGAAAGGTTGATGACTAGTGATTATGACACGTGTTAATATAACCATGCCCTCAAGATTGGGGGACCTTGGGCTGGGGATTTAGCTCAGGGGCACAATACCTGCCTGGCAAGTGCGAGGTTATCCTAAGATTGATTCCCTGTACAAAAAAACAAATATTGGGGAGCCAATCTGTGTCTCATGGGAACATTCAGGTCCTGGGAGGAACAGATGGAGTTTGTATTTTTCTCTGCAGAAACGAACTGTGCCAGCATCTCTAAACCTGAGGGGTCTATAGATGTATTTGCAATGAGCCCACATTTCTTAAAAATATTTTTAAATCTAAGATGACAATATGTAATCTATTAACTAGTGATTTCTTACTGTTTATTTTTTTTTAAATTCTGTATTACTTGTACTCTTTTACTGTTTTGGTTTTTTTTCTTTAAATAAAATTTAAAAAATATTTTTAAATAATATATTTTAGATGGCAATTCACAAGCATATTCTAAACCTTCTAACATTTTAAAATTTTGGATGACAGTCTTTAAAAATGGGATAAGCGTACCTTACACCTTCTAGATGACCTTTCAAAAATAACCAAGCCACGTGATTTGTACACCCAGAATCTCAATAAGGAAAGCCAGCCAGTGATGCATCAGTGCCTGCATGTTTCCGAGGCAGTGCCACGACTCCTCTGGGCCCCGGGAGCCTCACCTGACCTGGCTGATGTGAAATAGCTGGCTGAGGGCTTTACGTGGCCTTGTATGATAGGTCAGTAAGCTAGAGTCACCCACTGGCCTCTGATAGCTCACATCATTATCACTGTGAATCTGAAGATAGCTTAACATGCTAAAGCAAATACACTTTTATAAAAAGCTGTTACCATAGTGCAAATTTATTGGTATGAACAAATGTCAATTTCATCTTACAATGAGTGTGCTATTCTGAGACTCAGTTCAACAACCAGTCTACGACACAGGGAGGAAGCTGCACCCCTGCACGGCACCATGGTGCAATGGGTTGTTCTTTGTCCACTAGACCACCGACCACAGGGGTGGCTTCTCATGGAGTCTGACTGCTGGCTCATTATTCAGGGACGGAGGCTTGGAAGTGCCACGACCCACGCAGCTCTTGAGCTTCCTGGGGTGAAGGACTGTGAAAGGATGACAAAATGAAGCGGCAAAAGCTGGGGTCAGGTGCAGCCCTTACTCTCCTGATGGGAGGGAAGGACCTGCTCAACCACTGTAGAACGCCTGTTATACACTCAGAAGGAGGATGTCAATTTCTTTTTTTTTTTAATTTTATTTAAGGAGAAAAAAAAGCAGAGTAAGGGTACAAGTTATACAGATTTACAGAAAGAAATAAACAGTAGGAAATCACTGAGGATATCAATTTCAACCCACTGCCCAGCAACTTGTTTGCCTGGCTGGCCTGGGCCCCCTGCCTTCCTGAAGCTGGAACAGCTGGTTTAGGTGACTTGCTTTGGGCTCTGTTATCAGGGCTGGCCTTGCTTTAACATGTAATCAATCTCCAGCTTCCACAGCTCCCTACACAGAAGCATCTTTCTTCAGCGAAACTGCCCTGCACCTAACACAAAGGGTGATGCTACCATCTTAGTTGGAGTAGTCAGTGTGCAGTGGGGCTTTGCATCTACCAGTTACACAGAGAGATGCTTAAGTTGGGGAGAGGCCTCAGCTCAGGCAGTAGCGTATTAGAGACATTTTGGAATACAGGGCTGGGCGAAGCTCAGAGGTAGAAATCCATGTTGCATTTCCAATGCAGTGAAATGAACTTGAAAGGAAGTTACTCGGTCACCCTCCAGGCCATGGGCTGCCTCCTGGGCTCAGTACAAATAGTTGGAGGACTGATGTGGTCCTTGGCTGTTGCTGACAAGCTGGGGTTTGATGTGGTGGGAAGCAGAGGCTCCCGAGGCATCATCAGGCTGGGGCAGAAGTGTGCGATGCTGAGCTGCGTTTGCCGTGTTCTTAGCTCTGCTGAGGCTGCATGGCAGGCATGACCTGGTCCCCAGAGCAGCAGGAAGGTGCTTGCTCTTCTTAACCTGAACTTTGGGGTTTTAGTGGAGTTGTTTTAGAGGAAATGTTCTGTGAGCAGGGGTGAATCTGTGTGAGAAAAAGTCAGAGCTGGGAGAAGGGCAGGGTCTTTCACCCTGTCTGGAGACCAGAAATCCGAAAGGATACTGGCCGAGGTCTCCATGAGCTCTTCTGTGGCGGAAACTAACAGCTCAGGGCCTCACCGCACATCCCTGGGCTTATGGAAGTGAAAAGGCAAACTAATTATGATGTCTGCCGTTAGTTCCTGGTCAGGAGATTTTTGTCTTTCCTTTTTAGTCAGAGAAAATGAGAAGGGAGAAGGAAGAGGTGGCCGTCAAGGCCATTAATTATTAAAACACCATTAGGGCACAGCGGGCTGTAAGTTGGAGTTAAATTACCATCTTCAGTGTTCCAATTGCTGTCTGGCTGTGTAAGTGCTCTCGCTCATACTTAACTAGAAAAGTTGATGTAGGAACTTCAGACTTGCATTTGGCCCTCCTTCCACTCCTTACCTAGAAGTACAAATGCACAGTGAATACATGAAAGGTTCCACACTGCTGGCCACTAGAGAAGTGTAAATTAAAACAGATTCCACCTTACTCCAAAAAGAATGGCTATCATAAAAAATTTAAATAGCAAAAAAAGGTGACAGACTTGGGGGAAGAGAGGAGCCTTCTATATTTTGGTGGGAATGTATTTTGGTGTGAAAATTAGTATAGAGATTCCACAAAAAGCTAAACATAGAAATTCCATTCAACCCAGCTTTTCACCTTGTAGGTATCTTCATGAAAGAGTTAAAATGTCACTGGGTGTGGTGGTACAGGCCCGTACTCTTGGTATTTGGGAGGCTGAGGCAGAAGATTATCATGAATTTAAAGCCAGCCTGTACTACATAGTGACACCCTGTCTCAAAAAAAAAAAAAAAACAAAAAATATATTACAGTAATAATGCACACCCATGTTTATAGCAACACAACTCACAAGAGCTAAACTTTGGAAGCAGCCTGTGTGTCCATCCACAGATGAATGGATAAAGAAAATGTGGTGTTCACATACTGTGGAGTGCTACTCTGTCCTAAAGATAAACTTGTCATTTGTAGGAAATGGATGCCATTCGAGATCATGATGTTAAATGAGATAAGTCGGACACAGGGAGTTAAATATTATTTAATATCTCTTATATGAAAAATACAAATGAAGAGCAAAATAAAGGGTAAGTAATACCTTACCCTTTCTTGTAAGACACTCTTTCTTGTGGGAAGGGGTTCAAATGGGAAGAGGGAGGGAGAGGAGGAAAGATGAATCAAGGAATTAAGATGTGCTGTGCACATGTACCAAGGAAGGTGTCTTACTGTTCACTTGTTACTGACACAAAATACCCAACACCCAAAGTTAAAGGAAGAAAGGTTTATTTAGCTCACAGTTTGTAGAGGTTTCAGTCCACAATGGGCTGCACCTAATGCGGGGTGGCACATGCAGAGGGACAACCATCCAGGGCAGCAGAAGACGCACCAGCAACAAGCAAAGAAGCCTCTTTCTGTCTCTTTTATCTCATCCAGACTCCCAGGCTTAGGATGGTGCCTGACCAGTCAGTGAACTGATTTAGCAATCTCACGCTTTTAAACCCAACATCATACTCCAGCTCCAAAAAGCCCCATGAGGGCATGAGGCTTTGGGGGACATCTAGACACAGCCATAACAATGTGCTCATTATGTACTGCAAATATGCACTAATAAAAATTGGTAAAACAGCCATTTCAATTTCACAAGAACAAGGAATGTGCCTGATTTAGTTTGGATCTAGAATGTTTCCTGAAGACCCAAAGCCTGAGTCCCCAGCTTGGCACTGTGGGCGAGGTGCTGGAGCCTGTAAGAGGTGGGACTTAGGGAGTTTCCGGTCACTGAGGGGATTCATTCGTTGTCCTGGACAGGAACGTTAGGACCCCAGGTCCTTCCTGTGTCTTGCTTCCCATCCTGCATGAGGTGAGTGGCTTCCTCCACCGTGTGGCACAATGCCCAGAGCTTCCGCGGCCCACCAAACAGGGTCACGTGGCCATGGATCACTACCTTGGAAACCACAAAGCTGATGAACATAGTATCTCTTCACTGCTGGATTCCTCGGGCTTAAAAATGCCTGACACAAACCTGGTTCTCAGTAAATACCAGTCAGTAAACACACTACATTTACTTCCTTGAAACTTCTAAGATAAAAACAGTAACAGCTTCTCATGAATATTAACTTCTGATAGGCTTTGTACCAGGTTCCCTTGCAATGTGTGTTTATGCCAGAGGGCACGGTACCACATCCTCAGCCCTTTTAATTTTATTTTGAAATAAAGTCCATGTTGCCCGGGACTTCCCTTGAACTTGCAACCCTCCTGCCTCAGCCTTCTCTGTACCTAAAAGTACAGATGTAAGCTGCTGCCCCAGCTATACAGAGTATTTATTTTAAAGCAATTACTCATTTACATTAAAGAAAACAATTTTAAAAAAACAGCACAGGGGTGCTGCAGTAAACTTGCTGTTAGAGATGGGGTCTGTTCAGAAGAGGGGGCTCACTGGGGGTTTGACTTAGAAGGGTTTATGTCCTCCCCAGCCCCTTCTCTCTGTCTGCTTCCTGGCCACCATGAGGTGAGCAGCTCTCTTGCAACAGACCTCCCCATGTTCTTCCTGCCCTGCAACCAGCTGACCATGGACCCTCTACAACCTGAGAGCCAAACTATGCCTCTCCTCCTTTAAGGTGTGGGTGTTGGATATTGTGTGTCAGTGACCAGAGGAGTGGCCAGGACACAGAGTTCTAGTGGAGCAGACCTTGAATTTGGATTCTGAGTGGGTGACTAGAGACGCAGGCAGGCTGGGTCTGAAGCTGAGGGGAGTGTGCTTGCCTAGTTTGTCTGAGCTCCTGGTTTGATCCCCAGCACCAGAAAACAACAAAAACAAAAAAGCACACACACACAGGCAAAAAGCAGTGCCTGTGCGCTGTTTATGTCTTCCATCCCACAGACCAGGTGGGTCTGTTACTCCAGGCTTTGCAAGCTTAGCCCAAATGTGCAGAGTGGGTAAAAGAAACAAGGTAGCGAGACAGGCCGTCTGTCCTGATCCCAGCACCGTGGCCTTTGGCGGCTCCTAGGCAAAACCCTCCTGACTGCTCGCTTCAGAGGAGCTTCCAGTGCTGTGGTCTTACCCTGTCACAGGCCTGCTGAGAAGATGGCCAGCATCCTCTTGGCATCCTGGCTGAGGGATGAGGTGCTGCCCAGGGCAGCTCATGGGTAGGCAGGGAGAAGACAGTGTCATGGCTTGTATCTGGATGTCCCCCAACGCCTCAGGGAGTCATAGGCAGGGGGTTTGAAGGTGGCCGATTGGGGTGTCATGCTGGGGTTAAGGGTGTCTGATCCACATTGCTTAGAGCCTGGGTGGAATATATAAAGGGACAAAGGGAAGGCTCTCATTTCTGCCCCTCACAGTGCTGTGGCTTGCTGCCTGCTGCCTGCCTCGCCATGGACTGATTCTCCTCTGTGATGCCCCTCTGCCATGCTGCCCTGCCTTGGATTCAGCCAACTGTGGACTAGAATCTCCTTGAACTGTGAACTAAATAAACCTTTCCTCCCTTACCTAGTTGGTGTCGGGTATTTTGTATTAGCAACTAGAAATTAATACACAGTGTGAAATCTACTCACTGGGAAGGAGAGTACCAGTCTGAAGAAGGAGCATCTTTTCCTTGTGGGGATCTGGATCTGTCACCTACTGTCCTGGTCATTTTCTTCATCAGTGGGACACAGTCCCCAGCACCCAGCACCCACAACTTAAAGGAGAAATTTAGTTTGGCTCATGGGTTTTAGAGGATTCAGTCCGCGGTTCTCTAACTGCAAGACAGGCAGGGCCTGGTGGAGGAAAGCGCCTCACTTCACAGTGGCCAGGAAGTAGAGAGGGACAGGAGGAGCTGGGCGGGGGACTCTGTAAACCTTGCCGGTGACCTGGCCCTTCCTCCCAGACTCCACTCCTACCATCCCATTCAGCTCGGAGCTGTGCTGTGGATGAATCCACGGCTGAATGTGGTGCCTCTGTGGTTGTCACCTTCCAAAGCCCCGAGACTTTGGAGGACCTTGTGGAACTAAACCGTAACACCTGCGGAGATCAGCACCACTTAGTAGCCCTGACAGAAGCCTCAGGCAAATAGAGAAAACAGGTGGGGGTAAGGACAGGTCAGCCACAGGCATGGCCGGGTCTCTGCGGCGGCCCCAGCTCCGTGAGCAGCACACGCTGGCTCGGAGGATGCAGCTGGCTGGTGAGTCCCGAGGTGTCTGAGAGCAGGCCCCGCGCTGCCTGCCTGGCTGCCCTTCCACACAGCCCGCGGAGCCGCCTCCTATTCTTCCCTCCCCGTGCAGCGCTGACCCAGGAGAGCCTCATTAGCACGAGTGTAAATTAAGACTTCTCTGGCTCTAACATTCCATAATTATACTGACTCAGTACAAACTCATTAATTCAGACCACTTCCTCCAAATTTCCAATTATTTCATTTAGACTCAGCGGACGTTTATTTTACTCAGCAAAATTTTATTACAGATGGCTCAAATTAAAAAGAGGGGAAGCAGAAGTATTTCAAATATTTAAGGGAACAAAATGTTAATTTAATAACTACTTTATCTTCTTATTAAAAGTTGATGAACCAAGAAAATTCAATTAGATAAAATGAACAGTGTTAACCTTTCTGATTTTTTTCCCCAACCAATGTTTACCGAGCCTTTCTGTGGACCCGGCTTGAGCTAAGCACCAGAACACAGCAGCTCCGTCAGGTAGGCATAGTGCTGTCTGCTAATTCAGAGAGGAGATTAAATTGCAACATAAAACTATCTTGGACTGATGGCTTTTGTCTTTGTTTTAAGAGAATAAAACCAAATGAAATAAAAGAATAGAGTCAATCAAAACTAAACAATGGACGTGCTACAGTACTTCAAAACAAGGTAAAAGGAAATCAATAATGGCCACCACAATGCCTCTTGCTATCTCCTAAATAATTGCCCATACCACCAGACATAATAAAATCCAACCAAACAAAATAGAATAAAATCAAACAAGACAATGAAAGCAGTACAGGGCTTTGAAACAAGCTAACAGGAAATCAGTAATGGCTACCATCCTCTCACCAAGCACGTCTGCATGTACTCATCTACACAAGCACACACACACATCTGTGCATAGCCAGATACTAGGTAGGTAGAGAAGAGGCACAGGAGCCGGCCGCAGCTCACCTTGTTCATTCACAGCGCGGGAGCCGAGGCTGCAGCAGGGCAGCTGCTGATTTTCTAGGCCCCGAATCCGCCTTGCTACACCCGTGGAATTGGGCAGCCCAGGGTCTGCTTGCTGAAAGGGCGCCCAGGGCACAGCTGGGCAAATGTTAAAGAGCAAACCCTCGACCACAGGTGACAGAGCTGGTGCACACCTGTGATCCCAGCTGCACGACAGGCTGAGGAAGGAGGATCCCCAATTCAAGTCTGGCCTCTCAAACAATAAAAATGAACAGGGCTGGGGTGTAGGCTGCGGTGGGACACTTGGCTGCCACACGAGGTCCTGGTTTCCACCTCCAGCACCAGGCGGAGCACAGGCACCATGGCCATTGCCATCCCATTCCGGCAGGAAGCCAGGAAGCGCTCCCAGCAAGGGCGAGTGGGAGGAGAGCAGGGGCCGCCATCGGGAGGAGCCAGAAAAGAAGCCAAGTGGACAGAAGCAAAGAGGCCCTGGACGGCCAGTGCCGAGCTGTCGTGTGTACACACACAGGCACACATCTCTGTCTCTGCCTCCCTTTCTCTCTGCCTCTGTCTCTGTTTCTCATTCTCTGTCTCTCTCAGTCTCTCTCAGTCTCTCTCCATGTCTGTCTCTTTCCTTCTCCTTTTCACTCCTCCTCTCTCCTTTCTCTGGGTCTGTCTGGTCATTCTGTCAGTCTCTGTCTCCCTCTCTCCCTCCCTGCCTTGTCTCTCCTGGTCTCTCTTTGTCTCTGTCTCTCTCTGTCTCCCTGGCCCCACAAGACATACACACTACAGCCACTGCCAACTCGGATCTTACAGAGCCAAGCAAAGGAAAGTCACAATGCAATTCCGCCTCGCGTGAAGACAGCATGCTCCTTGTCCTTTGGTGCTTCTGGAAGATGAAGCTGCCACTCCCTGGGTCCTCTGCAGGCAGTGGGGAGGGGACAGTTCTTCATGGGACAGACCAGGCTTCCGGTCATCTTCTAACCCAAATCAGGAAGTGGCTTTTCTTTACTAGGGAGCGAGCCAGTGCCTGAGCCAACAGCCAGCAGCTGACACAGCATGGCGGCCAGGTTAGGGGTGGCTGTCCCAGGCCAGGTCTCTGACACAGCCTCAGGGTCACGGTGCAGGATAAGAGGCTGGGAGGGAGGGAGAGAAGGGTTAGGGTGCAAAATTCCCCAGCCTTCTCTGCCTTGTAAAGTCATCTGGAGGCGTGGCTTGCAGGAGGTGACTGTGTCATGAAGACAGAATGCTCGAGAAGAGGGGTCAGTGTCCTTACAGAAGGGACCCAGGGAGCTGCCTCATGCTCTGCCACGTGCGGACGCTGAGAAAGCACCGCCCAGAAGGCAGGGACTGTGACCGCTGGCATCTGACTGTGGATCTGCACAGGACGCCAGAACGGGACATAGATTCCTGCCACTGATAAGCTCGTGGTCTGCAGTGTTTTGTTACAGTAGCCCAGCCAGACCCAGCCCAAGCCCAAGGAGAAGGAGCCATTCCCTGTGCAACAGAGCTCTGCAGAGACCTGAGAAGCAGACATCTCCAGAATAGTACAGTTCAAGGTGCATCTTAAATTTGGGGAAGACGTATGAGAAGCTTTTTGTAATAAGTGCACAGTAAAGCAGTATTCATCAAGATATTGAAACTGGAAGCCTTGAAGTTCTTTTTTTCCTGTAAAACCCAGCCTCAGACCTTCTGCTATAGCAACAGAAATTGAAGTTGCAATCCTGCCTCAGACTCCTGGGGGCTGGGATAACAGGTATGCACCACGCAGGTGGCATTCTTCTTTAATATGATATTAAACGTTTCTTTAAAAGAGTTCCGCAGCGGACTGTGAACCCAGAGCAAGGAGCTGTCCGCCCTCTGTTACCTGCACCTGGTTTATCTCACAGTTTACATGGATTTTTGGCCCATGCATGATTTTGTAACGTTTTAACAATTTGGAAAATGTGGTTCACTGAGAAACGCAGGGATTCCAAATTCCAAACATTGACGCATTTTGTTTACAATATCAAAAATCACATTTGTCTCTCCTTAGACGGCGTCATGAAAATCTTTAGAGACTGCGCAGCTGTCCCCGTAGGGTGTGTACAAGTTCCTCCCTTCCAAGTTCGGATTTGAACGTCAGCAACACACTCGTCCATGTTTTTTCATTGAAGTTTGAGGCTCTCCCGGGTTATTTTCAAGAAAGGGCCGACCAAATGCCCACCTTGGAATATTCGTAGTTCATCTGTCATTCTTTTAAGTGAAATCAGTTTTTCACGAAAAAAGAAACCAGTTAACTCGCCACTCAATTTTCCAGTGCTTTCCCCAGATCTGGGGAGAAGCGCCTCACGCATGCTTCCCGTTTGGTCACACATTAACAACACAGACTCTAGGGCTGAGATTTAGTAAAATCAGTATTTCAGTGATAGCTAGGATAAGCAGTGCTGGCATCCTTTTACCTTGCCTCCCCTTTTACAACCCCAGTGAGAATGTCCACACGCGAGAAAGGAAGCACATGAATTAGCACTGTTGGGAAAGTACTTCTGACCTCAGGGCTGCCCTTCCTTCCTAGAGGGGTGCCCAGCATCCCTGAAGGTCCGCGGACCTCGCTTTGGGCACCAGTTTTGTTCGGCCGGCTGGCGCTGTACTCGCTTTGACCTGGAGGGGGCGCTCGAGGCCTCCTCCGCGCCTCCCTAGCTCGGACCTGGAGCCCTCAGAAGCTGGTCAGACTTTCCCCGCACCCGTAAAGACACTCACCCCTGTGCATTTTGCTGTGTATACGACCCATACAGTTCCTACAATCGGGTTCCTAGCGCACCGCCTCTGCAGTCCACTCAGCTCAGCTCAGCTTTGCGAAGACCCCTGGGGATAGGGGGTTGGGTGGGGTGCGATAGGGGGGGCTCTGCGCCTGCGCAGAGGAGCTCCGGCTGCGGGGCCAAGGCTCTGCTACTGCTCCGCTCGGCCACACGGGGGCGCTCTGCAGCGCGGTCCCGCCCTCATCACCACCCCCAGGCCAGGCTTGGGGTTCACCGAGGTCCCCGCCTTCGCTCACTCCTCGCTCGGCCGTGGTTCTGCAATCCGATGCCCGATGCCCCAGGAGGGTTCCCCAGGCCCAGACCCCGGCTGTGTCGTCTGGACTCCGCGTCGCTCTACTTGAACCCCATCCAGGGCCGGTAGCTCAACCTGTGCACCGCACTGGGGACCGGGCTTCGCCTGCCTCGGCCTCGGCTGCGGGTTTCCCTTTCCGCCTTTCTTATGCCCATTATTTTATTTTTTCTTCATTTGTCAAGGTTTTATTCATTTTCACAGCCCTATGTCTCTGTACCGTTCACGTACATCAACTCACATGCCTGTTATTTTCCATTTTTTCTTTTCTTTCTCCTTTTT